CCCCCCCCCCAACGCACACCTGATTAGTATATGAGCTCTTAATTTCATGTAAATTAGCATAACCCCTCCTGGTATCTTACTTAAGCAGAGTTATAATGGGACTTACCACCAAGAAGATCTGAGCCGGAGTGTTTTAATGGTGGTTTCATGTGTGGGGGCTGAGAACCTGATTCTTCTTCCTTATGCAGGCTGAAAGCAAGGAAAGCACCACAGAGCTATACATCATCTGAGGAACTGATCTATTGAAGGGACACTACAGATGCTCAGTTCTTCCAAAATTAGTGACACTAGTGTGGTAGAATTCAGGTTGAATGACAGGTGACCACGATGCTGCCCAACACCTCCCTATCCATATCACAGCTGCGTCCAGACCCTATTAGCTTTTATTTCTAGACTAAATTTGCAAATCCAGAGGACAGGTAAAAAAGAGTAACATATTGATAAAATAGCTTGGCAGGAAATTTTTAACATTCACCTAAAAATTAGAGGTTAATAAATGGTTAAATTTGTTTCTAGCTTCTCTTAAGTAGTAATAAATCGATATTTTTGTCTTCTGTCATCTGAGGGTTTCTACAGAAGCACAGAGAATTTCATCAGTGATCTTTCCGTGCTTTATAGCATTATGCCTTTGTACTATTATCCATCTGTATGCTTATCTAATGTGTATCTACTACCCGTATGAAAATAACTATCAGTCCCTTCACCCCAGAGCAAGCATCAACAGGAAGAATGACAATGGCTAGTTTGCACACTTGAAATGGTTTATTTGTTGCAATCCTGTGCACAAGATGTTTATCAGTAAGCACCAGACAGCCATGCAGAAGAAGGAGCCTTAATTCTGTCTGAGACAGCCTCTTATTGCTATTGATAGTTAGCATCAGTGTCCAGTCTGAGAAATGGAACTGCTGCAGGCAACTTCAGTCAAGACACCCTATTGATCTACTGCTTCCTTTGCCTCCCTCAAGCTAGAGAAGAAAAATAAAAAGGGGAGGAAAAGCTTGTTGTATAAGGGGCAATGCAGCCATCTATGACTTACCATCATTCAAAAGGGGTGTGTATGTGCATGGATATTCCTGATATTCAGTACCTCAGACAACTGTAAATCACACGCACAACCATGATAAATATAAATGTCAATGTGTTGGAAATGTCCTTTATATAAGAGGTGTCACTGGAACTACATTTTTAGCATGAAACATTTTTGCTGCTTTTTATTTTTCATTGACTTATTGTGCTTCTGTTATATCCTGTCTAACACAATCAATCTAAAGCATAATATCTGAGAGTCCTATTCATAAATAATACATATTTGGGTCATTTTCATTTGTATCCTACAATGAAGATTTACAAGCCAGAAACAAAACAAGAAACAATGTGTGGAATGCTCTTATTCAGTGGATAAGAATATATTACTGTGATCAATTAATCTGCTTTTCTGTGCATTAGGTGGACATCTTTATGGTACATCCATAAGGGTTTATAACTTAGGAGAGACAGAATCAGCTCAAGGCTCTAGCATAAAATGCATGTACTCAGAAAAGAGAAACTTTTGCAAAGTTTTTTTTTCCAAAGGGAAACGTGTTAATTTTGGCAAACTCAACCACAGCAATACCCCGTCTATCAACATACTATGTCACTTTGCCCTCTATACTACCTCACAAGTTAAATGAAAGACAAAATTGATCATGATATACTGTAGCTAAAAGTCAAAATAATAATTCTGGTGATTCCTCTAGTGCCATTCATCCAAAGATATTCATATTCCATCACAAAACACGCACACTCATTCTACAGAAAGGCAAAGAGACGCACAGAGAAGTTCCAGCTCACTTTTTTTCTGTTAAAAGTTAGTAGATAAAATTAAGTAAAAATTTCTGCATGAATATAAACTGCAGGAGCAAATCATAACAAGACAGGTGAAAGACAGTCAGATAAACACTATGCTGTATCAGGCTCTCACACAGGAAAATACAGCCGCCTCCATGTCCCAGGAGGGCTGGTATTCTGCTGCTGGGCCACGTCAGAGGAGCCACGGGAATGGACTCAATATTGACGCTCTGCCTGCAGAGAAGAAGTGCGAGTTAGGGCATGGTGAATAAAAAAAATCCCTAATCAGCCAGTGTTACTTTAGCAAGGAAAGTCAGAATATGCAGGAACTTTGCAGGCGACATAGTTGGTGAGAGACAGTCTGGACAAAGGCAGGCATGAGGACAAGGAAGGCTGCTGTGTTAGTTCCCCTCTTTGGCCCAAATGTTGAGAGATGCAGACTGTGCATGTGCTCAGTACTTTGGCCCGTGGTCCTGACTCAACATGGGGCTCGTGTATTAGTTTTCCAACTCTGGGAATTTGCTACAAGTGCATCGCAGATACAAAGTGAAATGAGTTTTGCAACTACAGCAAAAAAAGCAATTTTACATTTCATAGGCCTTTTTAAAACCCTTTCCAATAGAAAATAAAAATAACACTGAGGAAAAAAAAGGCTACATTTCAATTCCCTTTTTTATGGTTTGATGTTGCAGATGTTTCTGGGTCAGAGGTGAACATGTCTTCAGGTGTCAAAAGATGCAATAACCTGAGTCAAAAATGGCCCAGTCCCCAGAACTGTAACTGTGCCAGAACATCCCCACCTTAGAAGCTTGCTGGCAGCAACGTGCTCCAGGTGTCTGACACGGCACAAAGCTGGTAGTCATTTTAATATTTTCCATGCTCATGTAAATGGACTTGATGTGCGTTCATCAAATGTGGGAAAACCCCAATAGAATTTTGTACCATCTGTTTATAGCTAAAATGCCTGCTTTGTTTAAAATTTAGTGCAAAATCAGAAAATAGAATGAATGAAAGTAAGCAGTGGATTTTGTGCCATTCTGTTTTTATAAATCTGACGCTGGGGTCATATCAGAAAATGAAGAAAAGTTCAAAGGCTCATTCTTTCAGAGAGAGGAATATTACCCGAGCCCCACGAAGCTCTTAAATCTGCACCACACGGCTATGCCCTGCAAACGAGGGGAACCCCAGGCAGACGTGGAATTCAGTGACTTCCACAGGACACAGCCAAGGAGCAAGGCCTGCACCGGGGGCAGCCCAATGTCTGCACAGGTGCCCTTGGACCTGAACACTCCAGCTGGCAGCATTTTAGCACGCCTGACTGGCCTCATGCGAGAGGCAAAAACGAGAAGGCCCATTTAGAAAAGCATCAGCTCAGTTTATTTAATACCTAACATTGAATTTGGTGTTTTGTTGGAATTTATGCAAGTTCAATTCAATTAATATGGTAGATGCCAATCAAACTGTCCACCTCTGTTGTGTTGGTCTGGTTTTAGTAAGAGTATTGTGTAAAATACAGTTATGTCTGAGGTCCTGGAAGCGGTTATGATATTAAAAGATTAGCTGTGGTTACAGCGATTTTTAGCATCAGTTAATAGACATCAACTTGTCATCAGAAGAAGAATTTCAGACCTTGCGTCTCCTCACATCCCATATTGAACCTACACTTGCACTTTCCTATGGAGAACTGATAACCAGGCCTGGGAAATTTATACCTGTATTCGAGTCAGACGCGTTGTCAGAAGATGATGTCAAAGAAAATTTCAGAAGCATATTTTCATTATATCCCATTGGGGCACAAGATCTTGTCTTGGGTGAGAGAAGAGTTAACATAGCTGTCAGAGGAGAAAAATATCAGAAGAAAACAAACTGACAAAGATAATCAAAACCAGACATATGCAATCTGAAATCTCATAGGAGATTCAAGGTAAGCTAAAAGGATCCTGTAGTATCAAATGCTGCCAAACCATTCAGTACAGCCTGCAGAGAATACAGAACAAAATCTCTGCAGTGACATGCACCAGATGCTCGGCAGGGCAGGTCAGTATATCTCCATTGACACAGGCTAAACCTGGCCCCTAATGGCCTAAAATAGATATTTTAATCTTGACACCACCTTTGTAATGTGGTATAAAAGCTGAGAAAAAGAGTTTGAAAGTGCCTATGGTCAGTTAATTAGGAAAACAGCTAGTTCACCACATCTACCCCATTTGCCAAAAGAGACAAGTTTTATGTGTTTCAATCAGAAAAGTACAACTCCTCCAGTAGTGTGGCTGAGACATTTACTTTAGAAATGAGGAATCTTATTTCCAAGGTCAATCTGAGGTTTCCTGGGTTCAGAGTAAAATGTTTTGTGGGGCCAAAGAAATATTTACTGGGTTCTAGGGAGCAGGGAGTGGATGTGTAGTTTGAACATATTTCAAGTCAGCCTGGGAGGTCTTTTTGTTTTTACATATTTGTGTCTCCTCAGACAACCTTTTCTTTTTTCTTTTTCCCCCCAAGAAATTGGAAGCAAAGAAAATGATGACGTATTTTGCCAGTACATTTCAGTCGGACCATTTCCTGCATTGAACCAGGGAAGCTATGTTATTGGTACCTCTTCCACAATGTATTTCTTTCCAGTGCATCATACGAAATGATGCAGTTAAATTTTGCCCAAGGGCTGCCATTCCTTCTGTGCTAAACTAGAAGGAGTTTTCATATTAAGCAATGGTTTGCTTTATGCGACCTTTGTCAGTGGGAGCGACATTATATGTCATAGGGATAGTGCTAGGCGGTGCTTGGTGGGCACGGTCATAAATTAAACAGCAGCATATTACAAATGAGCTTCATAATGAGTAGGTGATTGGAAGATGTGCTACTGCATGCTGGAGATTAACATCCAAATAGAGAAACTATCACCTCGCCCAGAAGTGGCAGTAAAAGGTTAAAAGAAATATTCAATATTATCAATCATATTAAAAAAAGAGAGAAGTTGCAGCTGCCAAAGGAGCTTGGGGGAATTAATGTGTTTATGTCAAAAAGACTGAGAACAAGTGAAATAGGACTACAGTGATTGCCAGAATCTTACTTGCCTGGAGAGATAACATTGGACATCCAGCTTAACTAGGCAGGTGCCAGGAATCCTCTTGTGGATGCTATGGAGCTGCTTTCAAATAGAAGAACGTATGCTGAGCCCTGTGCTCCAGTCCCTGTGCTTTGTGAGTTGCGCGTTAAGCCAGAGAAAACTCCAGAGAGGTGTAATGACCTGAAACCAGGCAGCACCTAAGAAATCAATGTTTTAAGTAAAACAGCAATTATAAAAAGATCTACAGTTCCTTCCGTGTAATCAGGTAAATTACCAGAAGGGGCATAAAGCACCTAAATTGGAGAAAGAGTAGAGGAAGGGGGAGTGGAGGAAGAAGGTGGTCCCTTGGGTGATATGTGATAGGATGCTTAGTCTGTGTAGAGGGCAAAAGGTTAAGTGAAAATGAGATGAAAGAATGATCAGATATAGTCAGATTAGAGACAGCTAAATAAAGGAATGTGCTAACCTAAGATAAATGTGCAGAAGCGTGCCTGTGCTTAGTGTGTTGGTGCAGCCATTCTCCAGCAGCTCAGAAACCAGCGTGGAGAAGTCCTGGTTCCCAACCCGCGTTAGTCCTACCTGAAGCTCCTCCAAGCAAGACACAAAAGGGATAAGGATACAGGTTTAAGACTCCCCTCTGCCACTCCAATAGTGTAGAAGAGATACTAAAGTCCATCTCATTACACCCACCCATTTTGCAGGTCCCTTTCTACTGCTGGTGTGATATAAATCAGCCTTAGTGATGAGAAAGAGAATCAGGCCTGTGCCATCTGTGGTTTCTGACTGAGAGAGAGATGCTGTTTAAAGAATCTGAAAACAGAAGTATTGAAAAGTACTTGAAAGCTGCAAACTCCGTTGGTTGGCTCACATTTTCATGGGTCACCTAGCTCCTGTTAGAATGGGTTTCTACAACAACAAACAGCATTTGGTTAAAAGAGGTGCCTAACGTAGCAAATAAATGCTCAGGACACAGACCATATAAAAACCCATCAAATACTTTGGTAAATCTCCATTCTTAACCTACTTGATAAAAATTGCCCTTGATGAAGGAAAGCTCAAGAAATAACTGATATATATGACCAAGCCTGGAAATGACCACAGGAATTTTGTTCCAAAAGCCTTTGGTGGCTTATAGCTTTTAAAAGCTTCTACAAACAACCTTAAATTTGTAGCTCCCAAGACGACAATTCAAATACTTGGGCACATAATTTAGAGGTCAGCAATTTTTGTGTTTCCTCACAAGCCTGATTCACATGTACAATTAGATCTGGGAATTAGGAATTTGGAACTTTACCTTGTCTACTAGATGCTAAAACCTGGGGAATGTCAAAATTGGATTTCTGAAAATAAGTTTTGGTGCCCTCAACAATTTTGGTGCTTCAGCTGTTTGAGGGGAGAAACCATTCTGTGTTGTCACAATGACTTTGGTGAGTCATAGAATTCACCGAATCTACCTGAACTTCCTAACCTGAAGACTAACGCAGACTCCTTACATAATTATGTCCAATGGAAAGCTACAATGAAAGAAGTGTGAGCCAGCAAATGTGGGGTTTCAAAAGAAAGAGGAGAATGAAACGTTTTGACCCCACTCAATCAAGTCAGGTTTTCTCTGAATTATACCTGTTTCCTTGTCTAACATCTTAGATACTCTTGCTAGACACGTGGAAGGTATGTAAGCAGCATTCAACAAAGAATGAAAGCTGCTTAAAAAGCTCCTCCTTTCCTCATGTGCTAAAAAGCAGAGCTTCAGAGGAAGAGAGAAAAGCTTGTCTGGATCCCAGTTGTGTGTGTGTCTGTGGGAAAGGAGTGGTGAAAAGAGGCCAACGGCTCAGGGAAACAGGGACATGAGGAAAGAGCACAAATCAGCTTTATGAGCTAGCAAATGATCAGTGGCTAAATGCCAATAGAGGGCAATACATGCAATTGCGTTTGCATTGTTGCAATTATTAAAGGTTATTTTACTTCTAATTTTTTGTGGTAGGTGTTCTTACTCCTTCCTTACAGAAACCCTTGATTTTCACTTGCTAGATACTTAGATGCGCTTGTCATACCCAAAAGGTGATTTCAGTTCTTGGATGCCAGGAAACCTTTCCACTGATCAAAACACAGCTGCGCGGGCTTGGTTAATCTATTAATGGGTGCCACAACTCTGGAGTATGTCTGTCTATACCTGTGAAAATAGATATAATTAATATAACAGATATCTTGTGTACATGCAAACCCAGAAGGTAAAAATGACTTATAGTAAGACAAGATTTTCATTTGCCAAGCCAAATCAAGCTATCTGAATTGCTTAATCAAGCACATACAATCTGCACTTGGAACTCTACTGCTGCAGCGACTTCAGCATACACTCAATCCATTATTTCATGTTGAGCTTGTTTTTTTTTTTTTTTTTACAAGATCTTAAAGAAACACCATTTTTTGAAAACATGCTTTAATTAGTTTTTCCCAGGCTGTTACCTCTCTCCAGACTTTAAAAAGCTCTCTCCATTATTTTCCACAAGTTGTTGGGACATGTGATGTAGGAGCATGGGACCACATGAATTGCTGTTCAGCGGACACTGATCCTAGGCTTTAAAACAATGAATCAGCAAATGCCTATCCATTTTATATAAAATGCTTTCAGTGTAAGACAGGGAGCAGAATATTTTCTTATAGATAACCTTTTTATCCATTACAGAAATGCATGCTATCAGCTTTTCTAACAAATGAGAGGAAGAGAGAGAGAGAGATGCAATATCTTCAGTATGCTTTTATTATATTAATGCATTTTGTATTACAATTTTGGTTTCTTCACTTTGACATATATTCCCCTTTTAACAAGTTAAAATGCACAGTCAAAAGCTCTTGACTTTAAGCACATGCTTAACATCAGCATATTAACTGTCACATTCTGGCTAATAGGCTTAACTTATATGCTTAAAGTTAAGTATTGGTTTGAGAACTTCGTTAAATAAGACCTAAAAATTCTAATAATATAAAAAAAAAGTAAATAGGAACTTTGACTTTGGTTGCACTGGAAAGGCTGTAAAGTTGCTTCATCATCATCGTAATACAAGCGTTCGGTATGATTTCTAGCTCCAGATATCTTTATCTGTGATAAGTGCCTTTTCTTGTAATAAAATATATGAACTAAAAGTAGTTTAACAGAGATTGTGAAGTCCTGATTTGCATCAGTTAGTCCATTCTGAACCCTTCATTTGATTTCCTTTTGTATTGTGAGGGCAAACAATTGTTGTAGCTTTCATCATGAACTCAAAGAGAACATTTTAGCAGATCTAGCTTAAGGTGCATGCAGAAGGCTGTAACACTAAGATTTCTTTAGGATATCACAAAGCCAACTGTAAGCAAATTGGGTAATTCTGGGTGTACTTTCAAAGGACCTCAGCTTCCTCTCACAAATTGAGATGAAACAATTGCAGGTTTGGAGTATTTTTGAATTCTGAGTCTTAAAATACATTAGCTTTATACAAAAATATCATATAAGCTGAGTATATGAACTGCTTGATAGAGGTAGCTCTATTAGGTAGGATTCACTGTCCTTTACTGAAAAGATGTCTGACAAAAGTCATCAACCCAAAGGCAAATATAAACCAACATATACATCTGCTGTGATTTATTTTTAAGAAAAATTTTGGAATTAGATACCTCATTATGACTGTTTTATTAAAAGGAGATAAAATAATCTATCCGAGGTTTAGACAGGAATCTCAGTCTTTTTCTCCCTCTTAATCTAAGGGAACTCTGAATGATTTGGTTTCTGAGTAAATAATGGTGATAGATTTCTGTACACACTTTTTTTTTTTTTTTCTCTTCCATTAGAAGACTGGTACATTTAGTGGTCAAAACTTGTTCGGAGTGCACAGCCGCATTATTGAAATCATCTGTGGATTTGATCTTTGCTTATAGATAGCAGTGGGGCAGTTTCTACCTTTCTCAGTGACACAGGATGAGAGCTCACTGCTCACAGCAATCTGTCTTGGAAGGTCAGAAGCACCTCTCGATGTCAGAGAAACGTCATGCACTCCTGAAGACTGGGTCCACCAAAGTGTTCCCATGTTCGAGCTTTCTTTCAGTAGCTATGGTATTTCTGACTTCTGTTTTCTTGAGTGCCTTTCTTACGAAACTGGGAGATAGCGTTTTTTTGCTTCCTTGTTTGCATATATGAGGAAGTGAGAGAAAAAAATGTAAATTCTTTTCAAATGTGAATGCTACATGAGAAAATTCCATCTGCCAGTCTGTCTTTGACATTTTTCAAGTCATTTTCTCGGTCTCTCCTCATGAATAATCCAGCTCTTACTAGTCACATGGGCAGTTTATGCGCTAGACACATGCTACAATAATAACAATTATAAATATTTACTCCAACGGGGTGAGCAAGTAACACCAAATAGTTAGTGCTGGGATGATGTTCCCATGACAATAATATTCAGCTTTATGTAGTTGTTCATTTTCCAGCCTATGGCTTTCTGGTAACCTTTGTCAGGCAACAGTTTGACTTGACCATCTCAATTAATAAATATTTCCTGCAAGATACATATCGTCCTGGACTCTGCTCCTACTTAGGTCAAAAGCTCAACTGACACCAATAGTGTAAAAGTAGTGCAAGGGTGAATTATAAACACTTAGCAGCAAGAGCAGATCTCCTGATGCATACGTAATAATTTCAGTGCATATTTCCTGAGGGAAGTTTGAAGGAATACAAGTGTCGATGTGCACGTGTGATTTGTTATTTATTACCAAATTAAGGCCTCGTTCAGAACAACACTTCAGCCTACTGTTAATTCGAGGCCTATTGACCTCAATCTTATCAAACATGATGGACTTACAGGCATGCCTAAAATTAAGTTCAAGTAATATTCAGAATAGGAATGGCTCTACTTAACTGAGAATTAAACTGAGGCATGTTCTTGTTCAATTACTGATGACAGAGCTCCTTGCTGAAGGAATATGCAGGTGGAAATAGGATTGTGCAAGAGGTTAAAATATGTAGTGTCATACGTGGTGTCATAACAGTACTTCTGACTTTGAATATCTATGAATACAATTCTTAATGCTTCTGTGTTAAGGTGTTGTTCCTTCCAGCACTGTAATGGGCCTTTCAGTAATACTGAGCAATAGAAGTAAATCATTAGGATTTTAAAAAGTATTACAGGTTTAAAACTTAAAACATATCACTGGTGATGCTGATAGGTGATGCTGAAGGTCTTTATCGTTATTGCCCTTCCCATTCTAAGGCCAACAGTTCAACTAACCACCCAACCATTCTTTTTGCATTTATCTGTGATTTTGTTCCCTTCTCATCAGAAATAAATTCAAGAATTAAGTGGCAGACCCTCAATGAATCTTTTGGGTCCACTGAAATAGATGACTGGTATCAATGAGCTCATGCCAATTCACACATATGTGCAGCACAGCCTTTCAAAAGGCAAAAAGACCTTGATTCAGCAAAGCATGCTGGGGTGCCCATTCTGATTGCCCAGCAGGTATTACGATATCGTGGCCGTCCAGCAGCCAGCTGCTGCCCTGTGCTGGAAGCTTTGGTGTGCACCCACAAAAGTGCAATAGAAGAGTGCTCTTCATCCACTTTGGTATAAAATCAGTCACACAAATATAAAATCAATATAAACCCACCACATACTGCCACACTTTCTGTTCTGCCAGCTGACCTGTGATAACCCCTTGCTCGTAGGCAGCAACAGGAAGCTGGAGGCAGTAATCATCTCAAAGTCATCTTCCAGTTCTCGTAGCAGTGCTTCCACTGTCAAAGACCTTAAGTGAGAGAGAATAGTGCTTTTCTAAATTAGGGACTTAAAACAGGAAAATGATCTGGGAAGTCACAAGTCAAAAGGATGGTGATTGTTTTTGTAAAACTCTTAATCAGGTCACTAAACACAACCATCAAGTCACCAGAGTTCCTTGCTGGATACTAACTTATCAACATGTTTCCCTATATACATTTAACGCTTCTTGTAATACTTGCATTATTTTCTCAAAGGACACTCTTATCAGCCATTAGCACACTTGATCAGAGGTGGAGGCCTTGCTACAAAAAAGCACTCTTTCACAATGTTATGTGATTGTTCCTCTTGCCCATGTCTCTGTAATGAGCAGCTCAGTGCAGCTGCTAAAACTTACAACATCTTAATTTGCTTGGATAACTTCTTCACTGATGTTTAAACAATAATTATATCACTGATACAGTGTGTTAGCCAAAGTCATCTTGAAAACAGGAGGAAAAGAGACAGGTTTGAAATGCTCAGATAACATAATAATATGAATATTTTTACCATCTCTTGAAAAAAGGCTTTAGTAGTACGGAAATTAAAAGGCTCTTACACAGTTCCATTAATTCGGTAAACTCAATGGAGTTACACTAGAATAAACGTTTGCCTTGGAATATTAAAACAAGGAATCAGACTGGCAACTTTTAGTTAAGTAGTGATAGGTCAGAAAACAGAATCCTGTATGCACTTCAGCAAGCCAAAATTTTTCCCAGCTGATACACACTGCATAAGGCACTGTTTTTTGAAGGTAGTTTTTTGTTTTCAGAATCAAATTTCAAAATATTTGACAAGTTCCTGACCTTGCTTGTAAAAATCCCCAAGACACGAGCCAGTCGGATAAAAATCTTTTCATTGTAAAAAGGGAAGGGGGTGGGGTGGGGAAGGAAAGGTCTGTTGATAAGTTTGCTACACTATTAAAATGTTTCACCACAGCCTGGAGCTAAAATAGGCATCACATCTGAAGTTCCTATTTGTTAGAGTGTATGCAAAGTATTCAGCAAAAGCATTTTCATTTTTGAAGGAGATGCACCAAGTAACTAAGCTGTAAGATTAGACCCATTTCTTAGGAACACAGCAATGTGAGCAAATTAGGAAGATGTGTACTAGGATGAAAGAGGAATAAAAGTAGTTCAAAACTATGGTTTGTCCCGTTTAAAGTTTTTTGAGGTCATACCCTTATCTAAAATAAGCAAGTAAAGTAACCTAAGAGAAAATGGACTAGTGAGAAATCACAAAGACAATTTATCAAGAAGAATCTAGGATCCCATTGACTTGCCTAAATCTATATAAGGAAAACGGCCTGCAAGCCACTCAGAAAGTGATGGGAACCCATGCTTCAAACACGTCTTGAAAGAATGTGGGCAAACTCGTTCCTCTTTTGGCTGTGGTTACAGATGCTTTCTCCAGACAGTGGGCTCACTAGTTTCAATTGTCTGGAGTACTCAAAAATACATTTTCTCCTGGAAGATAGTCTGCATATACTTACAATAAACATTAACTAAATCAAATGACTTTCACTTCAGGGTAAATACTTCCAAGTAAGTCAGTTAGAGACATTTATAGTAAATTGCTATTAATTGGTTTTTCCAATCTACTTAGGTTGTACTAATGAGCACAATCACTTCTAACATATTTAAAAGCAGGATAAATTCTGCCTCTCTCTATATGCCTGTGAAGGGCCCAAGATAAAATGGAGAATATTCTGCTGCAGGAGCTCCAGGACAAGTGAAGGATCCTGCTGCTTTCTTGTGTCTCTGAACTCTGTGGTTCAGGAACAACTAGGAAAAGCTGATCTGTAGTCACTGCCAGATAGCTGCCCGGGTGCCTGCTTTTGAGTAGGCAAATTCTGTAACTTTTTTGCCACAAAACGGATAAATATAAGTTACATAACATGGAAACTCTCAGCTCTGCACAGCCTACAAACCACATTTTCCTATTACTGTTACTTCTCCCTTTTGAATGCTACCCACCAGTGATCGCTTGTTGTAAATTAAATGATAATATCTCTAGAGACAGGAACTCTTTTCTTACGCATGTGAATGCTGCCCAACAAAAAGAGGTCCCCAGTTCCAATGTGGCATTTCAGGCCATCATTGGAAGGACAGCAATCATATTATTATCACCCAGCTCTCTTGTGCAAAGTCCAGACATGGAAGAAGAATAAGAATTTGAATTATGCCTGTACCACTATATAGATGTAATCATGCTAACTTAAGCAGTTCGAGGCTGATTACCAGAAAAACCCTAGACCCAGTACAATAAAGCTCCTGATAGGGTAATTTGCTTTCCTAAGTCCTAAATAATATTGAAATGCTATCCACTTATTTTTGGAGATTATCTCCTCTACTTGTGTCATTTTTCTTAACACTTTTCAATACCTGAAGTAGTACTGCAGCAGACCACAGGGCCTAGAACCAGCTGAGAAACCTGCATGCATCATATAAGGCTTATGATTCCACAACTCATTAAGTCAAATTTATGGCATATGTAATTAGGCACCTTTGAATTGAATCCACGTCTCTAGAGATAATAACACTTAGAACTTATATAGGGCTTTTCATCTTCAAAGTGCTTTACAAACATTAACTAATTAACAACATAATAAGACGTGAAAGGCCAGTGTACTTACCCACAGGGTTGCATAGCTTCTGTATACTTCAGATTCTGATATTTTTAAATGCAAGATGCAATCTGGGTGCATATCTACTTTTAGTATCTCCTCCATCCCCACAGTCAAAAGGCACGAGCTTGTACATATCATATAACAGAATTCCCAGAGTACCTCTCGTCTCTGCTATTTACTGCCAAGTTAGAAGAACTAGCTCCTAAAAGTGAAGGAAAATATGAAAAAGAGCAGCTTGCAGCAGTGTACGAAGCTCTTTGAGTTTCCTGGGCTTTGGAGTCACAGTATTGGTGCATTATGCAGGAAGAAGCTCCCTGAGAATCAATTGCATCAGATTTTCTGACATCACCTATGTTCATATCCCTCTCAAGGCAAATTTAGTAATAAGTAGACAAAGTCTCTAGGGACTGGCTGGACTATCAGTGTGAAAGACCTTATTTCAGCCCAAATACATTTTTATAGTAAAACTTGCAACGTTTTCCTGCTTCTCCCTACTCTTCTGAAAAGTCTGAAATATCTAGCTAGTTTTTTTTTGTTTTGGCTCTGACTTAGTCGACTATTTGCCACACAAGCCTTTTGAGATAGCGTATGTTTGGCTTACTATCTCAGTGAACGTTTTCTTGGTATAGCAATGTTGCAGTTGTTATATCGGGTTACTTAAATTGCTGATAAATGTTAGTAATACAGAAAGATGGAGGACAATACAAAAGGGGAACAAATGATATGGGTAGTTTTAGTGATTGGTCCTTCAGACATTAACCTGTCTCAGTGATCATTTTCATAAGCTCAGAATACTTGACCATTGTCTGTGCATATGGTTTATTTAAATATCATCTGTCCATGGGTTAAAAGGACAACAGCTATCACCGCAGAATCTCTTTTCTCTCCAAACAATGCTTGCTTCTGCTCACTTGGGGATTCTACTGTGTACTTCTATTATATGCAAGAGAAAACTATGCTTATGTTCCTCCTTAAGTCTTTGCATGTGAAATCCCTCAAAAACAAACACAAATGACTCAGCAATAGTGGTACAGATGGAACCTCATGCGAAATTAAAGAAAACGAGGTATACCACAGAAAATGATGTGCATGCTCCTTGTGGAACCAGTAAGCTTCTGCACTTCCATGCAGACAAGCGGTCCAGAACAAACCCTGCAGGTAACAGTCTTGCAGCAGTAATGCCTGTGAGAGATCCTACTACAAACATAGAGTCTAATTAAAAGCATTACAATCTTTAAATGCAAACGTAGAATGGAACTGTCAAAATGTTTTATCCCTAAAGCATGAATGCTAACCTTCCCATACTTATTATAACAGTACACTTTAATTTGCTTGGAGCAGAGTTGAACAAAGTGAGCATCACAAACACAAACAAAATGGATATTTGAAAATACTACCGTTCACAATAATTCTTGCCTTCAAATGTTGATCAATACATACCAAAATCAAAGAATACATTTCCCAAATGAGCTCCTACAAAAGCATTCCATAGCACCAGAAAAGACAACATAAACTTCACAGAACAGCAGTGTTCTCTAAAATATTTACCAATGCAACTTTTTACTGCTTTCCTGTTTATAGCTTAGATCTGCACATATCCAGAGTGAAGAATAAAGCACTTCTGATAAATCAAAGGTTTCATTCAGTTTCGGAGTGGCAAATTCAATTAAATGAAGATGGAAAACAGCTCGCAATGATCCAAAGGGATGCTTTAAATCCTATGGCAAATCACAATCTATCTGGTGTGATTGCTCAAATGACTTTCAAATCTTTAATACACAAAATTATGGCAAAAAATGTAAAACGTTCTCTAGTTGCAAATCAAGTGTGATTATTCTTATTTTATATCGCACATTTCTTGATTTTTTTTCCCCTCAGAAATAAGAGGCATCTATTCATACTTGTCTGTCCCTTTGGAATTTTCCTTCCTTCCAACACTGCCATAAGAGAAGTACTACATGGTCCTTACAAGGGTATATAAAGGTGAGATACTTGGCCTGTTTCTGAGCTTGTTTCAGACAGTTACCGTTTGCTCAGCAGAGGCCTCTGTTGAGCTAACTACAGCACACGAGAGCACTCATGGGTATTCTCCAGCTCCTCCCCACGTTCGGACAGCTATTTTCCAGACTAACCAAACATTAACCGTAACTATCAGTGATTCCCTCCATCTGCCATCTCCAGTGAATTGGCTTCTGCTGCTGTCACTGTGATGTACTTCTATTATTTCCTTTTTCATAAATGGGTTCCTCTGTCAGTGCGCTTCTGAGAATAACTGCCTCCTGAATACACCTAGCTTTCATTTAGTGGCTTTAACCTGGAAAAAAAGGCTGGAAAAAAGCAAAACTAATTTTCAAGTTGAAATGAACCCATTACTTACATGAGCTTCCATACAGTTTAGCCTTCTTTCTAAACGCAGTACCACCTCTCGCAGTAGCCTTGTATACTGCACTCTGCTGTCCTCACCACGAAAGCAAGCTGAGTTGAGGTGCAAATTCCACAACGTACTCCCTCTGCAAATTAAAAGCAGAGAAGCTGTTCACAGAACAAGTAAGCTCTCAGCACTCTTGCCTTTACTCACCCACCTCTGCAAGGGGCATGTGTCCTGAGGAGTACACTAGGATTTTTACCCTATCGTGTGATTGCTGTCCCAGTCTGGAAATTTTGAGAGAAAGGCCTGGAGGATCAAACCCATTGTGTTGATGTAAACAAAAAATGTGTTCAACTGCAACTTAAAATATCAATTAAAAAGTCTATACCATCAAACCTTCTGACATTCGATATGGAGATTCTGACTCCATGCAGATGTTATAGCCCTTAAGCTTTCTCATAAACCACTGCCTCATTAAAAGGGAAGGGGGGAGGACTCCCAAAAGAACCAGCGAGCCACAGTAAGATGTCAGTAATTCTTACAGTACTAGAGATCTTAGTGACCTACAGAACTCCTCTCCTTTTTACACAAATAGCATGCCCCTCTGCTAAAATCCTCTGTGTAAGTAGAGAGTATTCTGGGATTTATTCCATCTTAAGCTAATGGACTTAACTTAAACTTAACTCAGTTTAGCCCTACGACAATTAGACAGTTGACTCTCCACCCATATGTTTTATCTCCGGTCTGGAAAAGAACCGTGGCTGGAAAAACCTGACCAAAAAAAAAAAAAAACCATAGAAAAAGAGAGAGATGATGATTGGCCTATGTTGACAGAGGAGCCAGAAACATAAGGGACCAACAGTTTATAAAGCAGGGATCTTTCAGTTGTCCTTTTGCAGATCATTTCAGTTGAGCTGAGTTCTACTATATCCAAACAGGATTTATCGCCTAATGGTCTGTGAATTATTGCAAGAAGATCTTTTAGTGATCACACAGATAACACATTTTGTATTTCCTCAGGGTGCTAACGGAGGTGTCACAATTTGTCCCTCACTGGTATTTGCATTTTCCTAATGCTTGCCAGGAACACCCACTTTCAGCAGTGTCTAGGGGGAAACGGAACGTTTTATTCTATATTGTCCTGCCTTTGGCAGTTAATGAGAGAATTTGGGTGGTAAACTTGAGGATATTTTTCCTCCAGTGCTGCCATTCCCATACTGCACATGGACCTGCCTTCCTCACCTTTTGATCCTTCACTGTCATGTCATATCATAATCATATTTCATTATTTCAGTCAGCTGCAAACAGAATCACTACTCAGCCACTCACAGGAGCGCAAGGCAGCAATCCTGCCTCTGGATCTTCTTTTTGTATAGGTCTGCTAATGACATATGAGTATCCTTAGTCTCACAGTCAGTGATTTAATGATAGTGCTAATCCCATTTTAAATATAGGGTGGCACAGAGCAATTGCTTGGACAGAAGGCTGGACACAACTCAGTTCTTATGTCAACCTCTTCTGTACCCATCCATTTTCTAAAGACTTCCGGTTTTACTTTTTTGCTAGAAAGTATTTGCACAACAGGCGCATAAACAAGACATTAAAGCCAAAAACAAGTCAATGACACCAATTCAATAGAAGTATTTACATAGATAACGGTGTTTCTTCTTCAGTATGACTGTCTTTCAGTACAGTGGCGCAAGATGAGGTTCCTACTGTGCCGGCAGATAGCTGTAACTTTGCAAAGACTTACTGAAGTGCTAATATTGATTGGACAAGATGGCGTATGTTATTTAGGCAATTGTTCAGGCTAAAGCAGTGATGGCAGCGCATGGGATATTATGGATGGTTGAAGTAGCTGAGGATATCTACCTTTCTCTCTGTTTACCTATTTTCCAAGATGTCTCTCATCATTGAATTTAACTACCAAGGACCAACGGCAGCATGTAATCATCTACAGATAAATGCCACCTCTGCCTCTAATTGGGGATTGGGTCAGATTTTCCTTGTTTGTACCTTTGCCGCTCTTGTTTTCTCCACAGTTGTGTGACAGTAACATTTTCTCACAGACTGTTCATATTGTTTTGGGACTTGTGTCAGTGACAACAGCATAGTTCTGTGTCTGCCAAAGCTTATTCAGTTGAGCGCCTTTCCAGGAAAGCAAAATAGTCAACTGATGAATCTTGTTATAAAACTTCAGAGCCAGCGCCTTTTTATAATATCGGGAATTTGATTCGGAGGCAGGAGCAGTGTGACCATTCTGCGCACCCGCTGCTTCATTTGCAGTCAGACTCGCTGAATAACAGAGAAGGAGTTTTCCCAAGTAATACCTGCTGTAAAACCACAATTTCTATTAGTGTATTTTCTCTATAGTTAGTATTCAGCGAAGAGACTGCAACAGTGCAGAGCTGTGTGTTTGCTGGTATTTTTCTTGTTCAAAGCTTTTGAGAACTCTTTACTGAAGCATATAATGCTGCCTTGAAATTGGCTTCTAAACTACATTTTGAGAAAAGAAACGCAGACACTTGGCTGGCTGTTTTTGTGCTCTGCCATGGTTTGCTCCAGTCAGAGAGAACTATCTCCCCTTTGCACACCTCCTCTCTCCGGCGCATTCTCAACAGCCTCTCTCTGATCACCAGATTCCCCTTTTAATACAATAGTTTTTTTCCCCCTCTCTCTCCTCTTTTTTTTTTTTTTTTTTTAAAAACATTACTAGTTATGAGCTCCGGTATCTGGATTTCCCCCTTTCACTCCTGCCATTGGGCTCTTCTCTGATTTTAAACTCTTAGGAGAATTCATTTATCATTAAAGTGTCTTATATTAAAAATCAACCTTCCAGAGGTAATTTTAGGAGTGACCACAGTGCTTCCTGTTCTATTTGAAGTACTCCAGTAGGAGAGCTAGATAGTTTAAATTAAACAATGGAGTTTTTGCCTTGACACTTGGGAGGTTAAATTTTGCTGGTGACTGTCAAACCCTCAGAAGAGGGGACAGCATTTGGAATAATCTAAAACTCCTGCAGAGTTGCATTACTGTGGCAGCTAGACTGGAGTAAATCTAGCCTGAAGATCTATTGGTTCAATTACTGCTTGGGGTCAGGACATGCCATAAATTACGAGATATGCAAATGGAAAACTGTGACTCTTGATGAAAGGAAGATGGATGGCTTTTTTAAATACTCATAATCAGCGCTAAAACTAAGTACAGGCTGCTGTATAGTCACTTGCTTGTGTAAGATTTCTGTTCTGTTCTTAAATTTTACCTGTGTGCAGGTGAAAAAAAGAAGCAAATATAAAATAACTTAATTTTACTTGTGCGTGATATTTTAAGAATAAAATTAGGAAGTCATTTGGAGGCCTGCTTTGTACTGCTTCTGCAATCCCCGATAATTTTTAGAAATATGTTCACAGAGAAGTTAGAAAAATGCTAATTCTTACCCTGTTCTCACCTACCATGGAGCAAAACTGAAATACTGCCACTGTATGCCGTTAAGACATATTAATAGTGGACATGGGAGCAAAGGAGCCGATTCTTCTCTATGGTGTGTGCCAAGAATGTCATAAAACTGAGTTAGTGATTTTGTCGCAAAGTAATTGAGTATTGGTACACAATAAATATGACCTTATCACAACATGAGCTCTATGGTGTTTCAAGAGCAAACCAGGACTCTTTAGGTGCGTAGAAAAATAAAATGCAATAAAAATATTAATATGTATTGCACCTGTTTTTGCTGTGCCTTAATTACATTTTTGATTGCTTTATTTCTCAGTATGATTAAAGTTGGAAGAATCTGACCCCTTGACAGCCTGCTTCTGTCATATAGAAAGTCTGCTACATCTATAAAGACTTGTTGAATTTCTCTTGCGGATTATCTCTTTTGTGAGAGAAGTTTTTACTGCATGTAAGACAAAATGATTACGAGTGTGAGAATAACGTGAGCTATTCAACGCCACCTGCTGCTGCAAGGGGAAATATATTCCCAGATGCACCTTGACTGAGCAGAAACAGATGGGGAACCACAGGAAAACTTCTTCTCGTTGATAGTAAGTTTGCTTTGCAGAAATATACCACAATACGTGAGGGAATATACTTTCCCAAGACTTGTGCTAGCTTCTTCCAAGCAGTCTGAAAGCCAACAGTGTTTCTAGAGGATATATAGCATTTCTCCTCTGGATGGTAGTTTCTAAACAATTTTAATTTATACCACTCTAGAACACTTTTGAAAAGCACTAAAGGCTGTCTCAAGGCTCCTATTCACGTCCTAAATTTAAATCTCTTGGCAGCTGTTGTTGTTATTACTATTATTACTTTTAAAAGGAGTTTACCTGGTGGGGGATGACAACTAGACAGTAACTTGCCAGTTCCTTAGGTATTCACCAAGGAGAGATGAGAGATTAGTTCATGTCTTGCAATTACTGGAAGAGAAAAAACACGTTAGGAAATACATTAGTCTGTCTAAGCAGAGGCTCATACAAAAGGAAAGCGGAATTAGAAACTAGAGCAGGATTAGGACGTGATTTTTGAGCTACCCGTAGTTAGAAATCACCTAGAAATGAATCAGTAAACGTTCAGGCTCTTAACTTACAGCATTATCTGTTTGCTCTAACATTTGCTCTATATGCTCAGTGCTAAAGGAAAAATTAACACGAGGAGTTTTGTATATACAGACATAAAAAGATCTTACTAAGGACAGAAAATTATTTTCTGAAACAATAAAAAAAAAGCCTTCGGGGTGGCATACCTTATTTTTTTGATTTATTAAAATCAAAAGCCAAAAATCACATTGCAGCATGAGGAACTCACAGTGCTTGGAGGAGGCCTAGTCTTTGCTTTTAAGGGAGATTTCCAGCAGCTTCTCCTAAATGAAAGACTCACCTTTGGATGAATGTATCTGACAATCCTTGCTGAATTCCGTCCTTAGGTTATTCTACTTGTGTCCGGCTTTCCTAGGGAAACAAAATACACATTTACAGAGTTCAAAGGAACATTCTGAATGCTTTACTATATAAGTGGATTTTGTATATAAGATGTATATAAACAGCTTATCAAAGACTCATCATTGGTCATCTGAACTTTAGATCACAGAGAACAGAACGCTTAACTAAACCCGACTGAAGGTTTAGTTTCTCTTACAGTAGCAGGCTGGATTCTTGGTTGGTATAAAGCAACCAGTTCCCACCAACTTCACAAGAGCTATCCCAGTCTGCAGCTGAGGGAGAAAACTGCTTCATGGCTAAACTGGTTAAGAAGAAGTTTGGCTTGATTGGAAAGAAAATCTAGTAAGTGAGCATTTTGTGGAAGACCCAGATTCACTGCAGGTGAATAATATAACCAGGTCAAGCAGGAATATCACAAAGGCACAATTTCAGTTCTGCCATCTCAGTTGGAAATATTTTATGCATGAGTTTATGCCTATAGTTTATGGTTGGTTTGCCTGTAAGGCACTGTCCCAACTTTAATCTTGAAACCTTTATCAAGCTTCTCTATTGTACTCTAGTAACAGATTGCTCTGAAGAGCTGTGAAATAAACCCAGCACCTCGAGTGAAACAAGCAGAACTACTGTTGGTCTCTGCCTCCCTCTCTTCCCCGCTTCCAAACGCGCCCCATTTCAGGGTGATTTCAAGAAAAATAGCTTTCTCTTTCCTGGACACTTATTTGGTGTCTGGGTCAGGTATGCACATGCAAATCCAGATTTATTTGAGCTAGTTGTATATACCTCTTTGAGACAAAAATATTCTTTATATAAACAGGTATAGAGTCAGTAGGGGTAATGGTGTGAAATCCGCTTCCTTGAGCCTGCGCATGCGAGAGCACAGCCTGCCAGTTGTACCTTTCAACTTCACTTGAGTCAGTGACGTTGTGCAGGTGAGAGTGGTATCCGTGATGTTTGCACTGTGATCAGCTGATTTTACCGACCCTAATATAATTCATAAAATAAATCCTTAAAGCAAATGAAATTGTATTTGTGGAGAATTAGATAAATAGGATCAAATAATCAGATTTTAAATCCTTCTTTATGGAAATCTCATATAGTCATTTTAGCTTTGTGAGGAGGCTACAAGAAAGAATCCAGTCCTCAAAACTCATAACTCTGTGTGGAAATACTGATAATAATGAAAAGGAAAACCATTTTTACAAGCCCTTTAAAGACGTTTCAGTTAAAATTTTATCTGTTCTTGTCTCACCTTGCATTTCTTTTTTTCATTGTGATCGTACTGGTTTTGCTCTGAGAAGAGCTTTGTACAGCCAAGTCAGAATTCAGCCAACTCTCCCTTAACTAGATTTCTGTAATTTACTCACAAGTAGAAGACTTTTGAGGAAAAAATGAAACAGCAGAAAAAACAAGCAAACTACAAAAAACAATGACTACAGTCTCTTAAATTTTATGTTTTTTTAAAAAAAGTGTATGTGCATATACTTGATATAATCTGTAAAAAAAACCCGAAAAATTCTGCTTGGGGAATTGCTGAGCAGACTGTTCCTGTTTGACTTCTAGCCTAAACCCAAGTGAAAATGCTGCTCAATGCTGTTCAAACCCTGAGCAATTTAATAGGCATGGGCACTTGGTATTGACTTTGGGTCTATTTTTGTGGATATGAATTTGATTTACTTTATATAAACAAACTTTTAACTGCTACTTTGTGGCAAAAGCATTCAGTGCAAGAAAAAAAGAGCATACTATTTTCTAAGTAGTTATAATCATTTGTGGCAAAAATGTGCTTTGCTAAACCTTCTGGACTTTCACAAAAGTATGACTTATTCATCAGCTGGTAAATAATTCAAAATTCTGCCATGATGAGTGTTTCTTACTAATTTCCATGAAATGGTATAACGGGCCCATTCTCACACCTTTTGTCTCATCCTAGTATAGAGATTTTTTTAGGTTGTGCTCAGTAATGGGACTTGTTTACAGCTAACTCAAAGTATATTTTTTCATTTGCCCCCCCCCCAACCCCCCGCTCCATTTGCTCATAGCTATGATGAATGCCAACAGCAAAATAATAATAATATATTGAATGCAGTGTGACTTATTTTATTGCTTCTTCCTTTACTGCCTCCTGAAAAGTTTGTCGTTTAAACAAATTTTACAGCTTTAAAGAACTGAAATTATTCATACTTCTGCAACTTAATCCACAAGTAACTATATTTTCAGCAGCTGAATTTTCATTAAAATTTACAAAAGACCTCTACCTTCACTGATTTATTGTTGTATTAGGTAAAACTACACACAGTGTATAAAATACTGTGTTACTCTACTTGTAGTCTGATCTAACACGTTATCAGTGATTGCAAGTACATTTTATAACCCCAGCTGCTGAATCGAAAAAAAGGTGATACAAGCATCAATCTCCGGGATAAAATCAGAGCACTTTCTACCACAGTTTGACCTTAGTGATGCCTTTGGATAGTCTTACTTGTCTAAGTCCTTGCAACAATTACCAAGGGACGGTTAGAAAACGCAGCTTTAATGGTGAGGGCTGGAATTACTAGCAGCATCAAAGACTTAAACACTAACCCCAGAGATTTCCAAGCATAGGAAGAGTTTGACGGGACTCGGATACTGCTGTAAGAAACAAATGGAACAAGGCTGCAGAAACCATCCACGTATTTTATGTGTGTTCTTTACTGTCTGCATCCCTGAACTCTGCAGTATCATTAGCAGGTACAAAAAGCTATAAATAAAAAAAACAGCTACAGATAACTAGACCTCAAGATACAGTTGACTCCAGCTATAGTTACCAAACCTTATTTATAACATAAGGAGACACAGTTAATTACAGGTCACCAAAATGTTAATTTCTGTCATAATATGAGTTACATTTCAAGAATGAAAAAGCTTATTTTTTGGACTGAAACAGTTTATCCTAATAGAACCTCTGTTAATTTCAAATCCCATCTCACATTAGTAGACTACAGAACAGGCAAAGAAAGGATAAACGTGTCTTATCAATCTATTTCATGCTCCTAAATATAATATTCAAATCCAAATAATAAAAAAAATGCACTATTGGCAAGGCAAAACACTGAAGGTAATAAAGAACTAGAGGGGATGATCACAAAAGGCTGTTTTGAGCAACAGCAGTAATAGCTGTTTACAACTAACATTAATTTTCTTTTAATTTGTACAAAACATTCTTAAAACGTTCAGTCCTGGTGACCTAGAAATGAATATAAAATGCTTTTATGAACAAGCACCCCCTACCTCCAAACTAAGAGATACCAATCATTTAAACTATTCTAATGTACATTGGATAGCTATTATGATAAACATGTGAAGGATGGAGTTAATTATATTACCTAAAATCAGACACTGGTCACTCTACAGTTGTCATTTATTATTCCCTAATTTGCTTTTATTATCAAAGGTATTTTCAGGAATTGTGAAATAAAATGATCCAAGCACTTATAAAGATGATATGCATTTAACTTCAAAACCATGTTTCAAGCTTCTAAAAATAAATTACATACCAATTTAGGAAATAATACACTTACCATTCTCATGCAACCTGCAATTGCTGCTGCAAAAATGGTAAACTCATTTGCGGAAGGGAAATACCACAATTTAGGGGAACAGTATTCATTTGGCAGGTCTCATAGTGATATATGAAAATAGTAAGGTAATTTGCATGGACATTGTAATCTAGCTGTATATTCGGAATCTACTCAGTTAAAAAAAAAAAAATCATACAACCGTAACTTTCTAATAACAAATTGGCAGACTGCTTTGAATTAATACCCAACTCCTGCTGCAGACCAGACAGTCTCTTCAGTAAAAAAAGGAAGGGCTGCAGTCTTCTACAGCTAGTATTCACTAGCACAACTGCTGCTTTTTTTTGGTTATGGAAAAAAGGGAACTTCTTGTCAGTTTGAAAATATTAGTATAGGTATGCAATCTCTATGTATACGAACATTTCTAAAATTCCAGCATCTAGGTCAGCAATGAGCTTTCTAAATCCTTAACATACATCTGTTGGTATCTCCACATGTCCGATTTAATTGTCCACGGTGAAAGGAAACCCTAATCAGGATTCAGGAGAAGTATCCTAAAACTTGTGTCTTTCCAACCTGAACTATCCTATGATCCTGTAAAAACATATAAGGACACATATTGTTGAATAAAGGAAAAACTAAGTTTTCATTTCTGTTTGAAACTAAAACCCAAATTAAATGATTAATACTCTTGTTCTTGACTATTTTGTGTTATTTATACAGCTGTTGCACAACAACGATGAACACTGAGGCACACTAAGGTAAAACCTCAGTTCCCAAATACTTCATTCCTTTCAGAATCAGGCCCTAGATAAGTAAAAACTGCAGATGATATTTTAGACAAAGTATTAAGTCACATGCAACTTTTATAGAACAATTTTGCAACCTATCAAAACGAGATTCATTTTTCATCTTCAGTTTCCACGACTTCCCCCACATATTCCTAATATCTGTCAATTCTCTTTCATTATCCACTGCAGTCAGTTCTGTTAGGAGTATTTGTGGGGGGCTAAGAGAAAACTAACTTAAACATACAGAGTTGTCACACAAAGACTGCATTTGTTCTAAACAGAAATGCAACTAAAAACTTGACTTGTCATAGCTCACTACACTAACACCAGACTCAGTCAGCTATCTTATTGGGGGGGGGGGGGAGGGGGGGGGGGGAAAACCAAATAAAAAAAAAAAAAAAAAAGGCAAGGATTGAGAAAACCAGTTGAAAAGCTACCTAGAGTTACAAAAGTTTCTGGCTAACTCACATTAGTGCAAACCACAACATATTTACAGAACTTAGTTCTTTGAAAGCTGATGTCTTCCCTAGGACTGCTTCCTCTTGGGAACTCTATTTGGTTACACAGTAAGTATACAATTATACACAATTACAATTGTGTATAAGCATCTATGTATGTCTTCCACTGGATACTAGGAGGAAAACCTGGGCCCATTAGAGTCAACAGAAGTTTTCCAATTGGTTTGAAAGAAGCCATAATTTCATCCAGAGGGAGTTCTGTGCATGCTTCTAAGTCTCAAATTCGATCTGCAGAATGCAGACTCTCTGCAGCTGAGATTTCTCTTAATTTGTTCTTGTGTGGTCCTATCTGAACAATAATAACACAATTCAGACTGAATACTATATGTTAAAAAGCCTTTATCTGTCATATGAAAAGAGTTAAAAGAAACTTCATTGTTCAGAGATGAAATATGCTTTATCTAAAAATAACTAAAGATATTTAAGGAGAACATTTGTACACATTTCTACACAAAATGCATTAAATCTTTCAACAAAGGCTTTATAAAAATGTAAATGTACTCTACAATAATTACAGTGACAACAGATTTTGTTTTCTGCAGTCTCACAAGCATGTGGGCTCACATCACTGCATCTGTAGCAGCAGTGATTATACAGTCTCACTGGTTTGCGCAGCAGTTTAAAGACAAACAGGAAAGCAAGGTCTTTGACCAGAGAAGCTGACAATTTAAATAAGGCTGACAATGTAACAAAAAGTGACAATAGTTTTGTTCAGTGGGTAGGAATGGCAACAGCAACCAAGGAGAAAGGGAAAGTGATCTTGAGAGAGCATCATTTTGAAGGAATCCAGACGACCTCCACTACTGCAATAGCTTGGGTTTTGTTTTTTGGGGGGTTTTTTTGTTGTTTTTTTTTTTTAAATTTCAGGAGTGCCACACAGGAAGAGTGACTCCACAGAAGTCAGCACAATAGATGCAAAATGGATGAATTTGGCTTGGAAAGGATAATGTCAGAACACAGGCAGGATAGGAAGAGCACTTGTTAGAAAATACACGGGCAAGAAAGAACCTAAAATAGCAGCAATTTCTCCCAGGTTTGGGTGTGTCTGTAAAACAGTAAACCATCCTAAATAAAGTGGTGCCAAGTGCGTGTCTGGAAGTGACAGAGATTGTCAGGAATTGCAGCAGCACAAGCAAATCTCTACCTTAATGAAGTCTCTTGCAATTTTTGCAACAGCCTTTTAGAGAAATCATAGTATATAGTTCTTAGAAAGCCAGCTTGGCATGGCTGCTGCTTATTTAGGGAACCAGTCCTACAATTCCCTGCAGGTCCAGGAACAAAGTTATCTGTTGCAGTAAATTCGCAAGCTGCACATTTGTTGTTACTGTGACTAAAGGTTAATGTTTAATTGGTCAGCTGAATCAAGATCACCAGATCCCCATTACATGTTCTTCTGGTGTTAATCCAGTGCTTTACTCCTGCAGGCTTTGAGCAATCTAGTTCTCAGAGCGTTAAAGGAAAGCTATATATAAAAGAGTAGTTTTGTTAATGCAGAACAAAGTACTTCACGAATAATTTTCTTTTGTAGCTGACTGGGTCAGGGAGAATACGCTCAGCCAGAACAGGCGGTTTCTGGCTGTAAACACGCGGAACGGCAGTCCTCCCAGGAAAAGAGAGAAGGAGCGATACAGCAGTCTTGCCGTATTGAACAAACATGCGGCACTAGGGCTGCAGCTCCTTTTGGCAAGGACGGCCGCTTGCCGTGGCTCTGACGAGGAGCGGTGCTCTGCTCCAGCCAGCTCCTCATGTCGCCGAGCACAGAAAAAGAACACAAGACTTGCAGGGAACAGAAGGAAAGGCTGTTTTGAATCCACATCCAAAAGCTAGAGTAATTCAATGCAATCTTTTTAGAGGATTTTCTAACTGAGATGCTCACTAACGTCCCACAAAGCTGTGCTTTACTTTAAATCCTGCATAAGATCTGAAGCATGAAGTCATTTTTGAAGGCCTCTTTTGTGCGCTTGTCCAAAAACAAGAGTCAAACCCTGAAATTCTTTCACCTGATATGCTATTGTGAGCCTGTGCTCCTGCTCAGGGTAACTAATTGAATAATTTAGCCATACAACTGACCTAAACAGTGTTACTCCGATGAAAGTTCAGCTTTTTGTCAAGCTGGCAGTCAGTTAACTAAAATCATTTGAACCTGTGTTTGCAAAGTTCTGCCTGTGACCAGGGTCACAGAAACCAGCTCTGTAGGACACCGATTGAAGCATTAACCATAGATGTGCCACTTGAGAGAACAGGTCTGCAAGCTTCACACTGAACTATAAACTTGCTATGTAAATGTCAAAATAGAAAGCACTCAAGTTTCTCCTGAAAATATGATGAAGACGTGTTAGTTCTAGCAGCCAAAGAATGAGAGTCACTGAGGATGAGGAGGTGCAGAGCAAAAGACAGAAAGCAAGCCTGAAAGGCAGAGGCAGCAGGCTATTTCTCTTTGTTATCAAGTGAAATGACTCCACAAATATGACAATAAATCACTGCAGGAATCAATCTGAGTGGAGGCAACTGCTCCATGCTGATAATGCATCAATCAATATTTAATGTTTACACTTTAATTAATCTGCACGTAGGAAGCATTCTTTCAGTGACAAAAAAGTGATGAGAAATAAAACACCTTTTATATCAAACAGCGATGAATGGCTGCCTATCTGTTAGGCTTTGATTGGGCCCTCAATTGATCATTGCAGCCTTTTTCGATTGCAGCAGTGTACAATGTCACATTTGGGTATAAAACAAACACAGGCTCTGCGAAGGAAGGAGGGGGGGAGCTTCTGAATCTGCTTTTGAGTGATTACAAGTTAATCAAAACAAAAAAAGACTGATACCAAAGTATGAGATCTTTGAAAAGACTAGGCAGAAGCATATAAAAAAGGATTTTCAACATCTGCATCAATGGCACCTATCTTAACTGACTTTTACTGTGTATTACAATTATTGATACCTACTAAGGCTTTGCACAGAAAAACAATCCAGACGTTCCCTTATCAGGACTACCAGTGGAGACTGAGTGACTGATTATCAGTTTATTTTATGGCAGCAAAGTGCTAGGTGCTGTATGGACACAGAAGCTGCCGCAATTCCTGTCTCAGAGCTTTTTTTCCTCAGCATTCTGTTTAATTCTTGTAAACTCTAGTTTCTTCTTCTTTTTAAAGGCCCTGATTCATTGTTCACTGATGTCAACTGACTGACTTCTATTGACTTCAGTGGGCATCGCATTAGTCCATAGATGAATGGTATTGAAAGGCATAGTAATGAAAGACAAATGAAAAGACAACGATACTAGACTAGTAACGTTCAATTATTTCTTTAAAGAAGAAAACTACAACAACACATTCTCCATAATTAAAGCTTTCTTTTGTTTTTTAAGTAATTATGTAAAGAAATGTACAGACATTCCACATAATGAAGACAACAGTATATATTTCAAAAATGTAGAGAGCTCAGCTGTACAGAGCTTAGCTCGATTTAAATGATTAGCTCCAAATCCAGACACAAAGTTGTCATAAATTTACACAAGGTGGAACATGGAGGGACCTTACTATATTTTGTACGTTATATTTAACCGTTTATTTGGCACAGCCTGTCAGGAAGCGAGGATCTTGCAAAGGACCTGTGCAAACGTCAAATCTGCTACAAATTGAAATATAATTACATTGAGTTATTTTTACTAAAGAACTTTTGTTGTTTTACTAGTCAACAAATGGGAGGATTCTACTTAGGATCTAGTGACATCTTGTTGCTGAAATACATGCCCAGATTTGGAACTTCTTCGTTTAGTGCGCTCCACTTGCTGGCTTTATCTAATGCTTGTTCAAAAATGGAAGTCATATACTAGAAGACATTTGAAAAATATTAATCCCTAATTCTAGAAACAAGTTTTTGTTACATTGAGACTGGGAAATCTTTCTCTATGATCAAAAATTGTTAAGACTACTCCAAAAGTCTATGGCACTCAGAAACACTCCTAAGACTAGTGGCAGTTTAGATATAAAGACTTTGAACCAGCAAAATATTTAAAGCATGAATGACATCAGAAGACTTCCATTTATTTGTTAAAAGCTTCAAAATATAGTAGCATACAGAAATTGGGGGAAGTGTTCACAGAGGAAATGAAAGAAGATGAATATGACATTTAAAACGCAGTAATAAAGCCATTCCCAAAGACTAAAACAAGCTAACCTCTTACTTCTGATGTTTACCTATCATTCCCACTTAAAGTTTTGTGGAAAAAATGTGTATCTAAATAAAGAAAAAAAGTTAAGATTTCATCAGCTCCATAAAAAAAGAAGCCATTGCATTCTCCCTAAAAAATCCATAAACAACTTTTCAGCAGATTTTACTAACAAGCAGAACATACACACACATACCCATACAAAGAGTTGAGTCTGCAGTTTATCTTTTCCATAAAGCCTTCTTCCCCCTTCTGTGCAAATCAGATGAACAAGCTAAAAAAAGGGCAAAGTCAAAAGAGAGGAATGGCCTACTGTAATGCATGATCAACTACAAATATTTATAGAAAAGACGAAAACACTACTGTGCGCACATCAGGATTGCCGTAGGACAGCTTTAACATGCATAGTTAATGTTTATGGAACAAACCTATTACTGAATGTAAAATCTTGATTTCCTTCATAGGCATGCAAAGTAATCCCCCCCCCCCCCAAAAAAAAAAAAAAAATCACTCGCTCGAACCATCCTAAGAGAACACAACA